TAAATTTACCTGAAAACCCTGGGGCGCACACAGACGATATTTTCCCTGAAAAAAAAATATCGTCTGTGTGGCGCCAACCCTACTACTCGTGGTGGGTGGACAAAGAGGTAGTGGGCGTGGTGGGTGGACAGAGAGGTAGTGGGCGTGGTGGGTGGACAGAGAGGTAGTGGTCGTGGTGGGTGGACAGAGAGGTAGTGGGCGTGGTGGGTGGACAGAGAGGTAGTGGTCGTGGTGGGTGGGCAGAGAGGTAGTGGTCGTGGTGGGTGGACAGAGAGGTAGTGGTCGTGGTGGGTGGGCAGAGAGGTAGTGGTCGTGGTGGGTGGGCAGAGAGGTAGTGGTCGTGGTGGGTGGGCAGAGAGGTAGTGGTCGTGGTGGGTGGACAGAGAGGTAATGCCTTCAAGAACCCGGGCCCGGAAGATCTTAACGCTCAGCTGTTTACATTCATGTTGCAGAAGTAACTTAACCTGTTCATTTGCCCGCCTTGCAAATACAACCATTAAGTGGGCGTTGGATGAAAGGTTAGTCAGCGTTGGCACTACCTACAGTAGGCAAACTTGGGATACTTGGCACAGATTTCTATCAGTACGGTATTTTAACCTTAATATTCGTACCACAAGGTTGTGAATGGTCTGGGCCCGCGGGGCGGGAGAGCCAGCCAGACGCTGAGTTATCAACTAGCGAGCACACAAACACGTTCAACCTTATATCCTGGACCAGGCGGGGCCCTGTGATGGCTTTCCTCACATTCAACTGCGTTCTTCCTTCATATATTAAACCTGTTTACTGAGAGACCTTTTGGCCTCCACTCTTCGAGACATTATACTGTGAGACTATATGCATATGTGTGCACATAGCTGCTGCATAGTGACGGTGCCAGTAAGTGATAGTGGTGACAATAACACTGAGTTTGATGATGGTAGTTGTGATTATGACTGTGAAATCCGGGCCGAGGGGAGGTTGAGCCCCAAAATCATCACAGGGTAGCAAGGGGGTTGTGCTTGTGCAAGTGTCGTCAGTATTTTCAGCGTCGTCAGTGTTGTCAGTGTCGTCAGTGTTGTCAGCGTCGTCAGTGTTGTCAGCGTCGTCAGTGTTGTCAGTGTCGTCAGCGTCGTCAGTGTTGTCAGCGTCGTCAGTGTCGTCAGTGTTGTCAGTGTCATCAGTGTTGTCAGCGTCGTCAGTGTCGTCAGCGTCGTCAGTGTTGTCAGCGTCGTCAGTGTTGTCAGTGTCGTCAGCGTCGTCAGTGTCGTCAGTGTCGTCAGTGTTGTCAGCGTCGTCAGTGTCGTCAGTGTTGTCAGTGTCGTCAGTGTTGTCAGTGTTGTCAATGTCGTCAGCGTCGTCAGCGTCGTCAGTGTTGTCAGTGTTGTCAGTGTCGTCAGTGTTGTCAGCGTCGTCAGTGTCATCAGTGTTGTCAGTGTCGTCAGCGTCGTCAGCGTCGTCAGTGTTGTCAGCGTCGTCAGCGTCGTCAGCGTCGTCAGTGTTGTCAGCGTCGACAGTGTCGTCAGTGTTGTCAGTGTTGTCAGCGTCGTCAGCGTCGTCAGTGTTGTCAGCGTCGTCAGCGTCGTCAGTGTTGTCAACGTCGTCAGTGTCGTCAGCGTCGTCAGTGTTGTCAGCGTCGTCAGTGTCGCCAGCGTCGTCAGCGTCGTCAGTGTTGTCAGCATCGTCAGTGTCGTCAGTGTTGTCAGTGTTGTCAGCGTCGTCAGTGTCGTCAGCATCGTCAGTGTCGTCAGTGTTGTCAGTGTTTTCAGTGTTGTCAGCGTCGTCAGTGTCGTCAGCATCGTCAGTGTCGTCAGTGTTGTCAGTGTTGTCAACGTCGTCAGTGTCGTCAGTGTTGTCAGCGTCGTCAGTGTCGTCAGCAACGTCAGTGTCGTCAGTGTTGTCAGCATCGTCAGTGTCGTCAGTGTCGTCAGTGTTGTCAGTGTCGTCAGTGTCGTCAGTGTCGTCAGTGTTGTCAGCATCGTCAGTGTCGTCAGCGTCGTCAGTGTCGTCAGTGTTGTCAGTGTCGTCAGTGTCGTCAGTGTTGTCAGCGTCGTCAGTGTCGTCAGTGTTGTCAGCGTCGTCAGTGTCGTCAGCATCGTCAGCGTCGTCAGTGTCGTCAGTGTTGTCAGCATTGTCAGTGTCGTCAGTGTTGTCAGCGTCGTCAGTGTCGTCAGCATCGTCAGCGTCGTCAGTGTCGTCAGTGTCGTCAGCATCGTCAGTGTCGTCAGCGTCGTCAGTGTCGTCAGCGTCGTCAGTGTCGTCAGCGTCGTCAGCGTCGTCAGCGCCGTCAGTGTCGTCAGCGTCGTCAGCGTCGTCAGTGTCGTCAGCATCGTCAGTGTCGTCAGCGTCGTCAGTGTCGTCAGTGTCGTCAGCATCGTCAGTGTTGTCAGTGTCGTCAGCGTCGTCAGTGTCGTCAGTGTCGTCAGTGTCGTCAGCATCGTCAGTGTCGTCAGCGTCGTCAGTGTCGTCAGTGTTGTCAGTGTCATCAGTGTTGTCAGCGTCGTCAGCGTCGTCAGTGTCGTCAGCGTCGTCAGTGTTGTCAGCGTCGTCAGTGTTGTCAGTGTCGTCAGCGTCGTCAGTGTCGTCAGTGTTGTCAGCGTCGTCAGTGTCGTCAGTGTTGTCAGTGTCGTCAGTGTTGTCAGTGTTGTCAGTGTCGTCAGCGTCGTCAGCGTCGTCAGTGTTGTCAGTGTTGTCAGTGTCGTCAGTGTCGTCAGTGTTGTCAGCGTCGTCAGTGTCATCAGTGTTGTCAGTGTCGTCAGCGTCGTCAGCGTCGTCAGTGTTGTCAGCGTCGTCAGCGTCGTCAGCGTCGTCAGTGTTGTCAGCGTCGACAGTGTCGTCAGTGTTGTCAGTGTTGTCAGCGTCGTCAGCGTCGTCAGTGTTGTCAGCGTCGTCAGCGTCGTCAGTGTTGTCAACGTCGTCAGTGTCGTCAGCGTCGTCAGTGTTGTCAGCGTCGTCAGTGTCGCCAGCGTCGTCAGCGTCGTCAGTGTTGTCAGCATCGTCAGTGTCGTCAGTGTTGTCAATGTTGTCAGCGTCGTCAGTGTCGTCAGCGTCGTCAGTGTCGTCAGCAACGTCAGTGTCGTCAGTGTCGTCAGTGTTGTCAGCATCGTCAGTGTCGTCAGTGTCGTCAGTGTCGTCAGTGTTGTCAGCATCGTCAGTGTCGTCAGCGTCGTCAGTGTCGTCAGTGTTGTCAGTGCCGTCAGTGTCGTCAGTGTTGTCAGCGTCGTCAGTGTCGTCAGTGTTGTCAGCGTCGTCAGAGTCGTCAGCATCGTCAGCGTCGTCAGTGTCGTCAGTGTTGTCAGCATCGTCAGTGTCGTCAGTGTTGTCAGCGTCGTCAGTGTCGTCAGCATCGTCAGTGTCGTCAGCATCGTCAGTGTCGTCAGCGTCGTCAGTGTCGTCAGTGTCGTCAGCGTCGTCAGTGTCGTCAGCGTCGTCAGCGTCGTCAGCGTCGTCAGCGTCGTCAGTGTCGTCAGCGTCGTCAGTGTCGTCAGCATCGTCAGTGTCGTCAGCATCGTCAGTGTCGTCAGCGTCGTCAGTGTCGTCAGCGTCGTCAGCGTCGTCAGTGTCGTCAGTGTCGTCAGCGTCGTCAGCGTCGTCAGTGTCGTCAGCGTCGTCAGTGTTGTCAGCGTCGTCAGTGTCGTCAGCGTCGTCAGTGTCGTCAGTGTCGTCAGTGTCGTCAGCGTCGTGAGTGTCGTCAGTGTCGTCAGCATCGTCAGTGTCGTCAGTGTTGTCAGCGTCGTCAGTGTCGTCAGTGTCGTCAGTGTCGTCAGCATCGTCAGTGTCGTCAGTGTCGTCAGTGTCGTCAGCATCGTCAGTGTCGTCAGCATCGTTAGTGTCGTCAGTGTCGTCAGCATCGTCAGTGTCGTCAGTGTCGTCAGCATCGTCAGTGTCGTCAGCATCGTCAGTGTTGTCAGTGTCGTCAGCATCGTCAGTGTCGTCAGCATCGTCAGTGTCGTCAGCATCGTCAGTGTCGTCAGCATCGTCAGTGTCGTCAGCATCGTCAGTGTCGTCAGTGTCGTCAGCATCGTCAGTGTCGTCAGTGTCGTCAGCATCGTCAGTGTCGTCAGCATCGTTAGTGTCGTCAGTGTCGTCAGCATCGTCAGTGTCGTCAGTGTCGTCAGTGTCGTCAGTGTCATCAGTGTCGTCAGCGTCGTCAGTGTCGTCAGCGTCGTCAGTGTCGTCAGCATCGTCAGTATCGTCAGTGTCGTCAGCATTGTCAGTGTCGTCAGTGTCGTCAGCATCGTCAGTGTCGTCAGTGTCGTCAGCATCGTCAGTGTCGTCAGTGTTGTCAGCGTCGTCAGCGTCGTCAGTGTCGTCAGCATCGTCAGTGTCGTGAGCATCGTTAGTATCGTCAGTGTCGTCAGCATCGTTAGTATCGTCAGTGTCGTCAGCATCGTCAGTGTCGTCAGCATCGTCAGTGTCGTCAGCATCGTCAGTGTCGTCAGCATCGTCAGTGTCGTCAGCATCGTCAGTGTCGTCAGTGTCGTCAGCATCGTCAGTGTCGTCAGGATCGTCAGTGTCGTCAGTGTCGTCAGCATCGTCAGTGTCGTCAGTGTCGTCAGCATCGTCAGTGTCGTCAGTGTCGTCAGCATCGTCAGTGTCGTCAGTGTCGTCAGCATCGTCAGTGTCGTCAGCATCGTCAGTCATCAGTGTCGTCAGTGTCGTCAGCATCCTCAGTGTCGTCAGTGTCGTCAGCATCGTCAGTGTCGTCAGCATCGTCAGTGTCGTCAGTGTCGTCAGCATCGTCAGTGTCGTCAGCATCGTCAGTGTCGTCAGTGTCGTCAGCATCGTCAGTGTCGTCAGCATCGTCAGTGTCGTCAGTGTCGTCAGCATCGTTAGTGTCGTCAGCATCGTCAGTGTCGTCAGTGTCGTCAGCATCGTCAGTGTCGTCAGCATCGTCAGTGTCGTCAGCATCGTCAGTGTCGTCAGCATCGTCAGTGTCGTCAGCATCATCAGTGTCGTCAGCGTCGTAAGTGTCGTCAGCATCATCAGTGTCGTCAGCATCGTCAGCGTCGTCAGTGTCGTCAATGTCGTCAGCATCGTCAGGGTCGTCAACGTCGTCAGTGTCGTCAACGTCGTCAATGTCGTCAGCATCGTCAGCATCATCAGTGTCGTCAGTGTCGTCAACGTCGTCAGTGTCGTCAACGTCGTCAGTGTCGCCAGCATCGTCAGTGTCGTCAACGTCGTCAGCGACGTCAGTGTCGTCAACGTCGTCAGTGTCGTCAGTGTCGTCAGTGTCGTCAGTGTCGTCAGTGTCGTCAGCATCGTCAGTGTCGTCAACGTCGTCAGTGTCGTCAGCATCGTCAGTGTCGTCAACGTCGTCAGTGTCGTCAGTGTCGTCAGCATCGTCAACGTCGTCAGTGTCGTCAGTGTCGTCAACGTCGTCAGTGTCGTCAGCATCGTCAGTGTCGTCAGCGTCGTCAGTGTAGTCAGCATCGTCAGTGTCGTCAAAGTCGTCAGTGTCGTCAACGTCGTCAGTGTCGTCAGCATCGTCAGTGTCGTCAGCATCGTCAGCGTCGTCAGCATCGTCAGTGTCGTCAAAGTCGTCAGTGTCGTCAACGTCGTCAGTGTCGTCAGTGTCGTCAGCATCGTCAGTGTCGTCAGCATCGTCAGTGTCGTCAGCATCGTCAGCGTCGTCAGTGTCGTCAGCATCGTCAGTGTCGTCAAAGTCGTCAGTGTCGTCAACGTCGTCAGTGTCGTCAGTGTCGTCAGCATCGTCAGTGTCGTCAGCATCGTCAGTGTCGTCAGTGTCGTCAACGTCGTCAGTGTCGTCAGCATCGTCAGTGTCGTCAAAGTCGTCAGTGTCGTCAGTGTCGTCAGCATCGTCAGTGTCGTCAGTGTCGTCAGTGTCGTCAGTGTCGTCAACGTCGTCAGTGTCGTCAGTGTCGTCAGCGTCGTCAGTGTCGTCAGTGCCGTCAGCGTCGTCAGTGTCGTCAGCGTCGTCAGTGTCGTCAGCGTCGTCAGTGTCGTCAGTGTCGTCAGCATCAACCAGGCTGTGACTCATACGTCAGGCTGCGAGCAGCCGCGTCCAACAGCCTGGTTGATCAGTCCGGCAACCAGGAGGCCTGGTCGACGACCGGGCCGCGGGGACGCTAAGCCCCAGAAGCACCTCAAGGTAACCTCAAGGTAGCATCGTCAGTGTCGTGCGCATCGTCAGTGTCGTCAGTGTCGTCAGTGTCGTCAGCGTCGTCAGTGTCGTCAGCGTCGTCAGTGTCATCAGCATCGTCAGTGTCGTCAGCATCGTCAGTGTCGTCAGCGTCGTCAGTGTCGTCAGCATCGTCAGTGTCGTCAGCATCGTCAGTGTCGTCAGCATCGTCAGTGTCGTCAGCATCGTCAGTGTCATCAGTGTCATCAGCGTCGTCAGTGTCATCAGCGTCGTCAGTGTCATCAGCGTCGTCAGCAACGTCAGTGTCGTCAGCAACATCAGTGTCGTCAGCATCGTCAGTAACGTCAGTGTCGCCAGCGACCTCAGTGTCGTCAGCATCGTCAATGGTGTCAGCATCGTCAATGGTGTCAGCAACGTCAGCGACGTCAGTGTCGTCAGCATCGTCAGTGTCGTCAGCATCGTCAGGAACGTCAGTGTAGTCAGCATCGTCCGTGTCACCACTGTCGTCAGTGTCGTCAGTGACGTCAGTGTCATCAGCATTGTCAGCGACGTCAGTGTCGTCACGACGTCAGTGTTGTCAGCGGCGCCAGTGTCGTCAGCGACGTCAGTGTCGTCAGCGACGTCAGTGTTGTCAGCGACGTCAGTGAACTACCATAATTCGTAGGTCACTGTAAAATTTACTCTCCAAAAGAAATTATAAATGGGCTTATTAAGTTCAATTAACTATTTTTAAGCAACATATTGACAATCATTATGAATACAGAAAAATGGAATCTTCACTAGACATTTTTGCTCGGGTTTAAGAGGACTTTTAATATAGTTAATTAATTTAATCCATAATTAGTCAGTAAGAGTGGACAATGCAATCAATAATAATAATACAATTCTCCACTCTGGTCCACAGCTCGCCATTCAGAAGGAAAATAAACCCCTATCAGAGTGTAAACTTTATTAGCAAAATATATTGTGACGGTAAAGTGTTGAAGTGTTGATGTTCGGCAGTCCTCCAATGGCAGGTGTCAATGCCTTGTCACACTTACATAAAAAAAAAGAGACTGCTTGCCTGTTTGTCTGTGGTAAGGTAAAGGGAAGACACGCAAAACACAAAATATAAACAATGAAATTTTAATTACTTTAGAAAAGAAGATATGAACAAAGACAATCCCTTGGCTTACGTAAAATTCAAAACAAGTCAACATACAAAACAACATGAATAATTAATAGATGTGAAAATTTACTCTAAAACAAAATAATGTGCAAGACAATAATAATCAGGTGCTGAGAATATTGGCTAGAGCTGCCACCTCCCTTAGTACACGACAGCCAGGGCTTAGTCTACCAGAGAGAGATGTCAACTTCTAAGAGCACAGAGATATTCTGAGGAGGACGGCGTGAGCTGGCCGAGACGTCGACTCAGGTAGAGGGCGTGAGTGCAGGTGCAGGTGTGCTGTCGGCGATACACCAGCCAATCAGGAGCAGGCAGGCGGAGAATGGGTAGTTTGCTCGTTGACGACGGGTGGAGAGCCGGCGTGTCGGGTGGTGCAAGGTACGCTTTGCTTCCTGGGCAAAACGTTTTGTGATACTGGTGGACGTATCTTTAATATAGCATCTTGTACTTGTAGAATGACGTAAATGATATAGAGAAGAGCAGGCACAATCTCTCTTGAAAGAGATTATCGTCACAATATACATTGTTGCTATTGCTGTGGAAGCACATACGGATGCTACTCATCACTTATGATGTATTTATGTGAGTAATCTTCCCCTGACACATCCTGGCTCTTCAATGCCAACACAGGTGGACATGAAGTGGGTCGACACCTGGGGCCCAGGAGGCTATCACACAGGACTACGCCCACACAGGGATAGACCCACAGTACACAGGGACACACCCACAGTACACAGGGACATGGAACGCGTGTGGGCCGCGCTCCTCAAAAAATTATTCTTAACTCTGGGCAGCTGAGTTACAAGGAGGAAAATCATTGTGTAGTGATATTACGAAGTGTAACACAACGGATAGGCAATAGCAATTTCAGTGGCAGTGTCTGATTGTGCTAAGGAGACAATTACAATTGGAATACGACATCAATGCCACGAGGGAGGAAGCTTGGAGCCTGGCAGCGGTGTGGACATCAACAAAAACAGTGACCACTGAACGCTTCACACTCACCTAGTGTACTCTAGTGGTTGAAGTGGCCGGTAAGTGCCTCTAGTGTAAATCTAACGGTGTATAGTGTGCTTTAAGTATAACAATTAGTCTTGGACATAAACATAAAGAATCTCAAAATATACGACTCATTTGGGAGGACTACGTTTTCTCACCTGGGTGTCATTAGACCACTGCTAATCCCCCCCCCCCTAACATTCCCTTCCCCTTATCCTATACTACCCACCACACACACTCATTCTATTTCCTCTCCTTCTCTCTCCCTCACTCTCCTTCTTTCCCTCCCCCCTCCCTCTCCCTCACTCCATCCCACTCCCTCCCTCCATCCCTCCATCCTTTCTTCCCTCCCTCCCTCCCGCCACCGGCTTATCCCCCCCACCGTACCACCCCTCTCACCAAACACACACACGCACACGCACACACACACACACACGCACACGCACACAATTGGTGGGGGGACCTGGTAGCTGAGTGGACAGCGCACAGGACTCGTAATTCTGTGGCCCGGGTTCGATTCCTGGATCAGGCAGAAACAAATTAAAATTCAAATGTTTATTCAGGTAAAGTACATACATACAAGATGTCGGAAAATCCGACACCATTTAATAATCATACAGATAATAGCTGTATTGTATAAACAAGTTACTAATAGAAAACGTAACTTGTAGTGGAATAACCGTCTAAAGAAAACGGGATATCATCACCACATACTATTATATTCACCAGCTATTCTGCTGGGAATTATTCTTAAATACATTAGTCTTTGGACTTTACCATCATAAAACATTTCATATAAATTAACTTAATTATCAGTATTAAAGTAGAGTAAATGTGACCCTTCTATCACTTATTGACATCTGGACAATGTAAGCTAGGCGTCAGGGTGAGGGAGGGCAGCCATTGTTGTTGTGTCACCTCCGAGACGTGTGGAGCAAATTCGGCTCCTATCATATCTGGACAATGTCGGCCAGTAGCGTCAGTAGTATGGAGTGTTAGACATTGCCATTGTTGATACTAGACCAGAGGCTCACGGGAGCAAATTCGGCTCCTATCATATCTGGACAATGTCGGCCAGTAGCGTCAGTAGTATGGAGTGTTAGACATTGCCATTGTTGATACTAGACCAGAGGCTCACGGGAGCAAATTCGGCTCCTGTTAATTTTACTTGGACGTAGTGTTATGGAAACCAAAGGTGTACCATCTTCAACACGCTGTCAACAAATTCAAGTTAAGTGTTCTTTCCGAAACCCATGTATCTATCATTAGTGGCCATTAATGTCATTGGGTAGGGTGAATCAGTTAGAGCACAATATAGCCTCATACTAAAGGTAATTAAGCCAGGTCTTCATTGTTCCATGTAAAGTGTTTCTCTGAAATACCTGTCATATACTAGTTTTCTGGCTTCACAGCTAGCGCCCTTTTGACAGGTCAAGACGAGGAAGCATGCTTTGTGCATCAGTTACCAGGGTGATGGAAGCTACCTCAAAGAGGGAAAATGTGGTGTCTACATCCTGGTTATACCTGCTGTACAAATAAGATAAGGAGCCTCTTCAATGTATGTAGTCTAATACTGTAGTTTGATTGGCTGCATATATATAAATTAAATTTAATAAACCCCCCCTAATGTGTAGAGGATCGATTTGTGAGATTATGAGATTATTGCAGAAATACAGTCCACTTATTATTATACAAATTGCTATCGAAGTATATAAATTAACGTAAATATAAATTCATATAAATTAAATAAATATAAATCTCACAGGTCGGTTCCCACATTATTTGGACCTTCAGAACCGGAATATTCGGTCCTTTGAACCCACATTTGGTCATCTTAGTACCGGATGAACCAGTTAACCAGTGGATTCATTAAATAAACTAGTGCAGTGTGATTTAAACAAAGGCCAGCCAGTCAAAGACAGCGGCGTTGCCTCGTGGGAGCTCAGGAGCCCCCCCTCAACTGAGTTCAGCCTCATCAGCGGTTTCATGCACACCCACAGATATTTGGTGGTGTGTTATTCTGTGAAATGACAGCGCTAATATAGAAGCCAGCCAAATTAGTGACTGTGTCGCGAGATTGTTCACGGATTTTGTGGTGTTAAATTTCGCGAGAGATTATCTACGTATTTTGTGGACTTTATTTCGCGAGGTCACTAATAATATTTAATACTTCTTGATAATATTAGAAGTTTCATAGAGGCTAATTAAGAGGCTATTATCAATAATTGTATATATTATTTCTCCAAAATAGAGAATTATTTAATATATATTGCACTAGTGATCACAGTATAATATTTACTAATTGCCAACCCACAACAGGGTAGGATATGATTAGTTGAACTATTATTGCTCATCCTAGTCCCATTATTACCATAGTCAGTTGTACTATATTGATCAACCTAACACCATTAATGAATGGTCCAGACCCCATTTTGGGTGTAATTTTTATCAACTCGAGTTCAGTTGTATATATAATAATTTACTTATGATCATTACACCTTTGAGTGATTAATTAGTGTCTCTTCCATCCTAGGGTGATATAGACGAGCTAACCTAAAGGTACTTCCAGTGACACTGGTTTATCACTCAAATTATTAGTGTGTATGATTGTATATATATAATGTGTATTAATTTTAAGTGCTAACCTCTAGTAGAGGTAGGATTATTGCCTAGTGAGTGCAGAATTTACCCTAGGTTACCATCAGTGCTTGTTCAGTATTATGAGCAGCCCAAGTACAAGTCCCACAAGGCTTCACCAACGAGCCAGTATGGATAATGCAGGGAGAATGAAAAGAACCCTTGCAGGTCTTAAAGGCCACTTAACAAGACAGATCAAGAAATGTGAAGATTTGTCACAACAATCAACAGTTGATTATGCTGACCTGGAAAGCTATTATCAAGCAGCTGCAGGTAAATTTGAGCAAATCAAATGCCAAATAGCTCTCCTTGTGGGGACAGACTACTACCATCAATTCATTGGTAGCCCTACTAAATATCAGGGCATAACCATGTTAAACTCTGCAGGAGGTAAATTACTCTCAGGCCCAGTATCAAGCCTGAGGAGACCTATGACTGCAGATAAACAATACTAGTAGAAATCTAAAGTTGTCAGCTGATTATATTTCTCCAGTAGCATTATACTAAGGAGATTACAGCTGACTATACCAACAGAGGTTGATGTTAGTATCATCATTTAAAGCTGAAGATGAGTTCATGAGGCTTCAGTGGCAAATCAGTGAACAGTAGCCTAAAACAGCTACAAGTCACTGCGACCAATGTCACTGAACCCACTGCAGTCTCAGAACCATACTTTACTTTAATGTTGAGCTATTCAATCTTGTACTCACCTAGTTGTGTTTGCGGGGGTTGAGCTCTGGCTCTTTGGTCCCGCCTCTCAACCGTCAATCAACAGGTGTACAGATTCATGAGCCTATCGGGCTCTGTCATATCTACACTTGAAACTGTGTATGGAGTCAGCCTCCACCACATCACTTCCT